GAACATTTATCTTCTCCTGCTCTTGAACATTGATGATCTTGGTCCTTGGGCCTTTGAACTCAAATTGAATTACAGCACTGTCTTTCTTGGTTCTCCAGCTTGCAGTTGACAGATCATGGAACTTAGTGGCCTCCAGAATTGTGTGACAAATTCTTACAATAAAAAGTGATAGATGATAGCTAGCTAGCTTGATAGATAGACTATTGGGTCCACTTTTCTGAAGATCTGTGAATAATACAAATATCAATAGGCCAGGAAGTTAACACATTCTGAGGACAAAGAAGCTTTGCTTAATGTGAGAATGAACTGATCCATGGTTGTTGGACCCAGGAAAAATTGAGACCCAGAAAATAGTGTCCTGGAGGATGACAAGCCAGGAAGCTAGGGATCATTGAAATAAAGGAAAAGGCAGAGGGAAAATTAGGATATGCACAAAGTCAACATATTGTTAACTCACAGCTTGATTCATTAAAAAAGTTGAGGCAGGAGAGAAGATAAAATCTTTTTACATACCACGTGGATTTAAATCAACTGTGGTTTTCAACTGAAAGATTTTTAGCATGGTGATTTGCAGAGCTACATGGCATCAGTGTCAATTTGTCATGTAAATACTTCTATTCTCTATAATTAATAAAATATTTATTTAATAAACACATATAATGATAAATATGTGTCTGGTATATTTCTAAAGCACTTTGTAAATATTAAATCATTTAATTTTTACAACAACAGAATGAGGTAGCACTTATTATTGACATTTTGGATTAAAAAACTGAGGCACAGGAAGGTTATGTTGGAGGCATCAAACATCTTGATTTCAAATTATATTACAAAGCTAGAGAAATCAAAACTGTATTGTACTGGCATAAACACAGACACATAGATGAATGGACTAGAATAGGGAATCCAGAAATAAACCCACAGATATATAGTCAATTAATTTATGACAAAGGAGGCACATATATATATATGGAGAAAAGATAGTTTCTTAAATAAATGGTGTTTGGAAAACTGGACAGCTATACGCAAAAGAATGAAACTGCTTCACTATCTTAGCACGTACAAAGAAATCAAATCAGAATAAAGACTTAAGCAGAAGACATGAAACCATAAAACTCCTAGAAGAAAACATAGATGGTAAGCACTTTGACATCAGCCTTGGCAATGATCCTTTTGGATTTGGAAAAAAAAATAAGGAGAAAATAAACAAGTGGGACTACATCAAACTCAAAAGCTTCTGCACAGCAAAGGAGGCATCAACGAAATGAAAAGGCAACCTATGTAATGAGAGAAAATATTTGCAAATTACATATCTAACAGGAATTTATTATCCAAGCATATAAAGAATAAATACAACTCAATAAAATAAAATTTAAAAATCCAAATTAAAAATGAGCAGAAGATCTGAACACACAATTTTCCAAAGAAGACGAGCAAATGGCCAACAGATACATGAATATATGCTCAATGCCACTAATCGTCAGGGAAATGGAAATCAAAACCACAATGAGATATCATCTCATGCCTGTGAAAATGGCTATTATCAAAAAGACAAGAAATAATAAATGTTGGTGAGGATGTGGAGAAAAGGGAACCCTTGTGCACTGTTGGTAGAAAATGAAATTGGTTCAGCTGACTATCAAAAACAGAAAGAAGGTTCCTCAAAAATTAAAAATAGAACTACCAGATGATTCAACAATTTCACTGCTGGGTATTTATCCAAAGGAAACAAAATCGCTATCTTAAAAAGATATATGTGTTCCCATACTTATAGCAGCATTATTTATACTAGCCAAGACATGGGAAAAACTTGAGTGTTCATCCACAGATGACTAGATAAAGAAAATGTGAAGATAGATAGATCGATAGATAGAAAATGGAATATTATTCAGCCAGAAAAAAGAAGAAAATCCTGCCATTTGTGACATCGTGGATGAAGCTTGAGGGCATTATGTTAAGTGAAATAAGTTAGGTAAACACAGTTACTGTATGATCTCACTTATATGTGAAATCTAAAACAACAACAACAACTTGTAGGTAAAGAGAACAAATTGGTGGTTGCCAGAGGCGATCAATAGGGTGGGAGAAACAAATGAAGGAGGTTAAAAGATACAAACTTCTAGCTACAAATAATTCCTGGGATGTGATGTATAGCATGGAGACTATAGTTTATATTGTATCATATATTTGAAAGTCAGTAAGAGAATAAATCTTAAAAGTTCTTATCACAAGATAAAGAAAGCTATGTGTGGTGACAGCAGTTAACTAAATTTATCATGGTAATCATTTCACAATATTTATCACAAATCATTATCTTGTACACGTAAAAGTAATACAATTTCATATATCAATTACACCTCCACAAAAATTGTATATTACATATATTTTAAAGCTAATTTTTTGTTTGTATTTTTTGGGGTGGGGATTAGGTTTATTTATTTATTTATTTTTAATGGAGATACTGGAGACTGACCCAGGACCTCATGAATGCTAAGCAGGCACTCTGCCACTGAGCTATACCCTCCCCACACATATATTTTAAATATCAAAAAGAAAAACCTAGAGATTAGCATGGCCTGTGTGCAAAGAATGTTTTTGGCTCAGGCAGATTTTAAGAGAAATCTGTCAGTTTCTCTTCCATTCATAGCCAGGATCAATTTTGAGTCTAAGAAGGTAACATAGCTTTCATTTTGGTGGCTATAAAATTTTTATTTTGTTGTCATTTTCTTTTCCTCTGACATTTCTCAAGTTAAATCATTCACCTTCTCTTGCTGAAATGATTCAGTTTAAACTTTATCATCTTTTAACTTCTTAATATATTCCTCTAAATAATGACACACTTTGTATCTACTAGCTTTAGAGTTTCCAACAACAGGCCCTGTATCTTTTTAAAATTATTATATTTATTCTTTTGTTTAGTCTTTTTGTGAAAAACACTGGCTCTGCATACCGTTGTTTCTTGTTAAAGGTAGCAAAACATTCTCATAAGCACACTGAAGAAATGAAAATAATTATTTTTTCAAAGAGAAAAATAGAAAGAATAACCCTTTGAGAAAAGATCCCAAGACATCTATGCTTGGGGCCTCTCCTGGGAGGGTCAGAGGGGATTCAGCTTGTTTATTTTATGGTTAAAATAGGAATGAAGGCCAAATCTTCTGTGATTGATTCTTACACTTAGGTATACGATATTTGTCATATGAGACTTTGAGCAGTCAAAATCGTTTTGTTAATTTTATTCAAAGAGACAATCAATACATTATAGCCCCGATTCTTGGAATTCCTTCTGCACCAAAAATATATATATTTATTCCAAGGTGTGTATACAAGGAAGCACAGGGTAGGGTGAATTGATATAGTCTGTAGGTAGAACAAAAGAGATTAAATTGGAGGGAGTTTTTTGCTTTGTATTGTTTTGTTTTTTGATAGAATGAGTTGAGACCATTAGAAAGGATGAGTGAGAGAAACTGGGAAATCTCTTTGAATTTAAGTTGTCAAAATTCCAGGATGAAGCAAGGGGGCTTATGGCACAAGTGCTTAGCTGGAAAAGCTTTGCAGTTCCTAAACTATTTAATCATCCAACTTTTGTTTAAAGTAGGGATAGGTGAATATATGCATTTCTACCTGTGTCTTTGTGAGGATTTTTGGTGCAAGTGACTAAGTACCGTATATAAAGAGCTGCCTTGTTTATTTTAATGTTTGCTATGTGCTGAAAATTATTTAACTAGCCCCCTGTGGTCCTTGAGTTTGTTTGCAATCTTTTGTATGACAATGCTTAAATAAATATCATCCTAAATATATAATGTTTGACATTTGCAAACATATCTGAAGGACAATCTATGAAGCAGAATTGCTAACTTAGAGTTTGAGATTTTTACATTTGACTACTAAAATGTCTGTTAGTGGTTCCATCAACTGACATCCCCATCTGTGTGTATTTTACCACCCTTGATAAACATTTTGATTTTATCAAAATAGCATCTCACTGTATTTTAATTTGACTTTCTGTTTTGAATACTTAATTTTTTCCTCATTAAAAAATTCTGTCATTGTTTTAGTTGTTTCAATTAGGAATGTTTTTCTGCTTCATCTCAGACATTTTTTCAGGTGAGATATTCTGTTGCGAAATCACAATTTTCTATTTTTTTTTATTTTACTTTCATGTGGATACAGAAGTTTTTCTATATACTGGGGGGTTTGTATGCGAAAGGGGTTAAGAAACTTATCATAGATTCTTGGCTCATGGGTTCCCTCTTTTTATTACCCCCTTTCTTTGGTTTGTTCATTATTTTGGGGGAAGGTAATTAAATTTATTTATTTAATGGAGGTACTGCCCAAGACCTCATGCGTGCTAGGCATGTGCGCTACCACTGAGCTATAGCCTCCCCTCCCCTCCCCTGTTAGCCCTTTTATGCCTTTGTAGTAACATGCTTTTCTCTTCACACCATCATTACGTGCATGCTGACTTGCTCTTTCTGATATTCCCAAGAAATTCATTCTCTCTGTGAAGCAGTCTCTTTCTTGGACTAATTATTTTCTGCGGCTTCCAATGTTCTCATGCTACTAAAACTTCTTTGTATCTTAGCTTTTTCCATCCTGCACGAACAGCCCTGCTGCTGTGGTGCCCTCTTGTGACGGTTGACACCAGTTCTGCTGATTTGTATTCCCTCTCCCTACACATTATTTGAAATTTATGAATTAAAAAACAAAACAACAAAAAAAAAACCCTTCTAGTTTCATGAAGGTTTAATTTGCGAGGAAATTATTCTTTTTTTTAGAGAAGATTTAGGACCATTGCTGAGTTTCTACCAGTACCCCGAAGTGGGAAGTGTGTCTATTGTGTCCATTTAAAAATATTTAAATGTTTACAAATACATCTCACAAGATTCTTGTTAGATACACTAATTTTGATGTTACAGTGAGGCTTAAATTGAGTTCTGTTCTCTTACTATATTTACTGAAATGTCTGCCTTTATTCTGTATGAGTTACTTTACAGGTTTAACTCATCATTCTAAATATGCTTCTTAGTTCTATGTATCACATATATCACACCGAGTCGGAATTGACCACATATATTTCTGTTTCCTTAATTATGTTGCAGATGAATTTAACGCCAGCATTTCTAATCATTTTGCTCACCACAGATCATCCTTATACACTTCTAGGTGATGAACTTGCTTCATTTACCCCGTGCGCTATACTAGGACCGTTTTACTAATTGTCGCTGTCGTTATTCCGTCTCAAAGCAATGGAGAACGTCACTACAGTGAATGAGTTTATTTTGCTGGAACTGACCTCCATTCAGGAGCTGCAACCTATAATCTTTATGACCTTCTTGATTATATACATGATAGATCTGTTTGGAAATGCGTCCATATTAGTGATTGTCATCTCAGAGACAAGACTCTACTCCCCTATGTATTTTTTCCTGGGAAATCTTTCTTGTCTGGGTATCTGTTACTCTTCGGTGACACTGCCCATACTCATGGCAAACCTCCTCTCCACTCACAAGACCATATCCTTCCTCTGCTGCATCGCGCAGCTACACTTCTTCCACTTTCTGGGCTGCACAGAGTCCATCTTGCTGGCCATTATGGGCTTTGACCGATTTGTGGCCATCTGTTACCCACTTCGCTACACTGTCATCATGAACCCCCAGGGGTGTATTCTCTTGGCAGCTGTGGCCTGGATCACCAGCTTCTTCTATGCTCTGATGCATTCCGTCATGACAGCACACCTGAACTTTTGCCGCTCTCTGAAACTCAACTACTTCTTCTGCGACGTGAAGCCCCTCTTAGAGTTGGCTTGTGGTGACATACGGCTCAATCAGTGGCTCATTTTTATTGTCACTGCCGGCTTAGCTATGGCAACATGCTTCCTCACTCTCCTCTCCTACTTCTATATCATTGGCTTTCTTCTGTTCAAGAACCGGACCTGCCGTGGGCTCCACAAGGCTCTTTCCACTTGTGCCTCCCATTTCATGGTGGTATCTCTGTTTTATGGAACCGTGGGGCTCACCTACATTCCCCCTGCCTCTCCCACCTCTGTCACACAGGGGCGGTACGTGGCTGTCATACACACCACTGCCACTTCAGTGCTGAATCCACTGATATACACCCTTAGGAATAAGGAAGTGACGATGGCTTTGAGGAGAGTCTTTAGGAGAAAACTGAAGCTGTCTGCCTAGAGAAAACCATTGGCAACACTAGAAGAAATAAAAACTGCATGTTCAAAAGAAAAAATAGAAAGAAAATTGCATGTTCTTTTTATGACATTTATTTTCTCCTCTATAATAAACTGGATACATTTTTTTATAAGGTCATAGATTTTCATAGAGAAAATTTATTTTCTTAAAAGCTGCATTAAGTGGTGGCTATATTAAATTATTCAATTTAAGTGGTGGATATATTAGCTGCATTAAGCGGTGGATATATTAAATTCTTTATTGATCCAAGGGTAAAATAAGCCTAAAGATAAATATAAAATCACTTGTATTGCTCAATTGTACTATTTTTTAAATTTTATTTTTTATTGAAGTGTAGTTGATTTACAATGTTAGTTTCAGCTGTACAGCAAAGCGATTTAGCTGTGTGTATATATATATTTTGTGTATACATATATACATATATATATATTAGATTCTTTTCCATGATAGCTTATTACAAGAAATTGAATATAGTTCCCTGCGCTATACAAGAGGTCCTTGTTGTTTATCTATTTTATATTATAGTAGTCTGTTGATACGTTTATTGAATTCTGTTTTCCTTTGAGAAATTTGTACCATTTGCAGCTATGTTCTTCACATCTATGATTCCAATTACTCTTCATTTAGTCATTCATTTGCTTGAATATTTTCTTCAGCAAGCAGTGTTCAATTTGCAGAGGATAATACAGTGGAACAGATCCATGAATCCATGACATAAGGACATGGATCTTTTTCAGTTGAGAAGGTGGGCAATGAAAAGATCAACAAGTAAATGCATGTCTCTTCCAGAAGGTAAAACACACGGAATGTAAGGAATAATCAGCTGCCATGGTAGGCCCTCTTTTGTAAGGCTGGGTCAATGACAGCCTCTTTAAGAAATGACATTTGAGCAGAATGCTGTTGGAAATAGGGGGGTTAGCCATGTAGATATATGAGAATATAGCACTTTTTCACAGAAATGACAGCCAATGAAAGAGCACTGATATACAGTGTGCTGCTGCTGCTGCTTTTTTTTTTTTGGTGGGGGTAGGTAATTAGTCTACTTATTTTTAGAGGTACTGGGGGCTGAACCTAGGAACTTATGCACGCTAAGCATGTGCTCTACCATTTGAGTTATACCCTCCTCCCAAGTGTGCTTCTTGTGAGGAAAAGCATGATGTCCAGCGTTCCTGGAGCTCAGTGGGTGATGAACAGAGTGGCAGAAAACGAGAACAGAAAACTGGCTGTGGTCTTGTAATGGATGTCCTGTTGGTCATCTGAAGGTTTTCAGCACTTACTCTGGGTGATCAGCATAATATTGGGGCATTTGAGCAAAGAACTGACTTGATGTAACTTCTGTGGTAAAAGAATCACAGTATTGCTGTTACTGAGTCCAGACTTACTCTGCTCACCGCATGACAGGCCAATAAATTAGGAGACGAGGTGTTGGGGCATGGGATAATGACTTTATTTAGGAAGCTAGCACACCGAGAAGATGGGAGACTAATGTCCTAGAGAACCATCTTCCCCAAGTCAGAATTCAGGCTCCTTTTATACTAAGAAGGAGTGGGTGTGGCTGGTTGTTGCAAATTTTTAGGGTTGCAATGTTTGGTTCTTGTAGCTGTCCACGAAAGTCAGGTCATGGTGTTCCTGTAAACCTCCAGCAAGATAAAAGTTATTCAGCTCTCCCTGGGTCCCCAACCTGCCAGCCCACCTGCAGATTTTGGATTTACCAGCCTCCATAATCACATGAACCAATTTCTTAAATAAGTCTCTCTATAGATACACATCTTGATTCTATTCTCTGGAGATGCTAGACTGATACAGATTTTGGTATCCCTCATTCTGAGCATTAGGAATTCCTTTTCATGCTCCTTGAGCCAGAGAATTTCAGCAGGCGTCTCCTAGAGCTCTCTTGGACTGTGGACAGTATTAACCGTGTCATTTCTGTGCTTCTGACTGTGTTAAGCTCCAGCTGGGGGATACTGGAGGGAAAAAGTAGTAAACTCTGCCAATTTGATGATGACTTGAATTCTAGTATGCTTTCCCAAACCACCTGCTAATGTTTACTTTTCAGGTTGCTCAGATAGGTTCTTCTTGCATTCTGTTCAGGTTTTATGGCTACATTTATGGAAGAAACAGAGTGCGTTTATGCCATCATCTAGGAACTAGACCCTATGTTTTGAAATTTGATTGACAGTCAGTGAAACAAAATAGCCAGGGCTTATCTCTCCCAGGTTTAGTTTTCCATACTGTTTTCAACTCTGTCAGTATTGGAAGGGATTGACTATAACAGCAATTGCAGGTGTAGAAACAGCTGTGAGGTGGTGGAAGCACCACCAGATTGCAATCAGGGTACTTGAGTTTGAAGCTAGACATTACTGTTAAATACCAGTGCACTCTAAGTCAAGACTGTCATTTCTTAATTTCAATTTTTTTCTGTAATGAACATAATTTTTGAGAATGTAAATGCAAAGGTAAGTTTTGAAATAAATTACTGTAGAAAACAGCACTTTGTTGTTTGAATGGCAAAATGATGAGAACTAACATCTCTTGCATGCTGATATGTGACACTATTTAATGTGACAAGTATATATATATATATATTTTATTAGTATATATTAATCTATTAGATATTCACAACAGCCACTATATTTTTTTACAGATAAAAATTGAGCCACAGAATTGTTAACTAGCTTTCCTAAGTCACATATCTAACAACTTGGTGGGCCGTTGTTCAAACTCAAGCAATCTGATTCTAAAAGCTGTGTTCTTAACTGATGTATATAATACACTAAGAATTATTGTTTCTGTGGAATAAGTAAAAAAGAATGAGGAATTGGATCAGTTCATTTGGAATATTTCATTAGATTATTCTAGCTCATCACCACAAAACAAAGAATTTGAAATTTTGGAGTTTTAGTTCTATATGTTAATATAGAGTAGGTAACTAGAGTAACTTTGGAGCCCTCTATGGTATTTTCTCCCCAAGACTCCAGATTATGGTGATTATGAATCTGTACTAAAGACACATGCTCACCAAAACCTGTACCAAGAAACAATCCATTCATTTCACACGGATCAAGCAGCAGCTGCTTAAAGCCATCATTTTGCAGGTTCCAAGCAATTAAAACTTGTCTCCTTAGAAATTAGCTGCTGTCAAGCAAGGTCTTGTTCTACTAAGGTCACTAGAGGGCTCATTAGAAAACTTACAGATAATTGGATTAAAATGTTTTCACAAAGTCAGTAAGTACATAATTGTTTAAGTGCCTCAAAACTATCTTCCCAGAAGAGCAAGATGATTTATCAGAGTCTGCACACTAAACATCTTCAAGGGTGTCTCCAGAGGTCCCAGCTCTGTTAGGCACTCGCTGGTGCTTCTATCTCAATTTTGCCTCTTGGTTTTAACAATTTCACAATTTAAGTTCTGGAAGAGGACCCTGGGGGCAGGCTGCTTAACAAAGAACATTGAGATAAACTTTCTTCAAAGTTTAAGCCCTCCTCAGGGAAAAAGAGATTGGTAACTGCACACAAAGCACCACTCAACTGTAAAGTAGAGTCATTATTATTGAAAAAAGGAAGGCACTTTAGGAAACCTTGAGGGTGTTTTATTTTCTCTAAGAGCCACTAACTCCAGAGTGAAGGAGAACTGGAGGCTTGTTAATATCAACTCTATCTATTCATGCAACCATTCATTCAATTCACTCATTCAGTTCACCATTCAATTACTCACACATTTCATTCAATTATTTATTCTAATATCCTGGATCATTGTTATAATGGCCTTCCACTTTCAAAGTTCTAGTTAAACCAAATTGGACAATAATTCAGGTCACATAACTGTTAAGAATGTTCCTCATCTTGTAACGTGGAAGCTTTTTTTCCCCACTTGATATTTATATTGCAGCATTTTCAATAATTTTCTTCAATTTTACAAGTAACCTCATGCTTTTCTACAGGATACTGCTATTCATGAATCATGGCATAGATTTTTCATATCTGAACACAATTCACTGTTGGGACTAGAGTCTTACGTGTGATATTTGTAAATTATTTTCATCTAGCCTTGAAAGCTATATGCATTATATATACTATATAATAATATATACAGATTACAAACATACATATATATAAATATATTATTGATATGTTTAATAAAATTGTATATTTGGAGTATTTCATTAGATTATTCTAGTTTGTGAAACATGTATTATCACACTTAAGAATCTACAGAAGTGGGATGCTGAGCCAAGGAAGAATAACTTTAGATAAGAACAGAACAGTGATAACAGTTCTGTGAAATATCCTCTCCTATGTCTTTAGCTGCATCTTTTCATTCTAAACTCATAATTAAGTTGCCTTGCTCTAGAGCTTCTTCGTGGTTACATTTGGATTAGTTAAATTAACCAACACTCTTCTTTCCCCTCAAATCTTCTGTCTTTTTGCATAATCAAATCTTGAAATGGTGTAAATAATTTTACCTTAAATTGTAAAGCACTTTTCATATATATCATCTCTCATATATATCATCTCATTTAATCTTCATGGTGACTCCTTCAGGCTCTAATAGCTTAATGAAAAAGTACTAGATTTAGAATTGGACTACTTGAGTGTTGAGAAGACTACACTTACCCATTATGTGACATTGCTCAATCAATTCATTCACTCACTCACACACTCACTCACTCACTCACTCACTCACTCAATAAATAAATAAATAAATAAATAAAACAAAGGAAACAAAGCTGTTTTCCCAGATAACTGACCTCTGGTTTTCTTTTTCAAACTCCTGGAGAAATAAATACAAATATCAATTCTTAATGGACTACAAATAATCTCTTATTTTGTTCGGTTTGATGTACAACATTTTCGTAATCAGTTATTCACAGGATCTCCTTACTCTTCTTTCTCCTTAACCCCAAGAATCAGTGACAGTCTCTTTGTCTTGAATGCTAATTAAACCAGAAACTAAACACTTTGGTGGGTAGTCACTTGGCACCTAG